CATAGGCTTTTCCTATCTGCTTTTAGAAATTGTCCTTTACTTCAGGCACCCCTTAGGCGCCCTGGTGAGGCACTGTGGGCTAATGTATCAGACTGTAAAGTCAGTGTTTCAAGTTCACCAGCAGCTCTTTGGAAACCCTATACAGGGTCACTATGAGTTGGAATTGACTTGACAGAACTTAACAATAACAAAGGAGGCTTTAGTCCCTTAACCCTACCCTTATGGTGTTGTTAAGTGCTGGTGACTCATAACGCCCCTGGTATAGGGTATCCAAGGAGCGGCTGGTGAGTTTGAACTGCCCACCTTGTGGTTCGCAATCTACTGCTGACCTACAGCGCTACACTAGGAAGTCCTACCCTACCCTACTCCTTATCTAACCTGTCAGGTTTTTTGTAGTCTTTGTCTTCCTGGATTCTGGGGACTTTCAGATATTCTCGTTTGTGTCCTTAAATCCTTCACCTTTTGTCATTGTCGTAACTGGTGTACGCACTCCACACTGCTTTCGAATCCAATGCCCAAAAGAAGGAAGTGTAAGCTAAAAACCACAAAATGTTCACCCTCTTAGCTTCGAGAAACACTAACTTTTAGGGTCTATTCCAAATAGTTTCTATTCCTTTTAGCTACAAGAAACACGAACTTTTAGGTCTATTCCAAGTATTTTCCATTTTCAAGACCAGGACCTGGCCCCAGCCCCTCATTTTTAAGAAATCAAAGGACAGTCCACTAGAGTTCCCTCTATTTTCCTCTTAATCGAAATCAACCTATTTTGTTTGAATTTATGCATCTGCCATGATCTGGTCTGGCTCACAATTAATTACTCAGTCTCTCTTCCCCATTTCCACTCCATGCCTTTGTTCATGCAATTTTCTATCTAGAAACCTTGTCCTGATGCTTCCATGAAGGCTGTATGTTAACTAGCTGTGTGTATAGTTTTAATGGCAGAAGGCAAAATGGTGTTCCTTAAACATTTGAAGCTTATATGGTGCTAGAGGATAAGCAATTCAACCACAAGGTCGGCAGTTCAAACCCACCAGTCGCTCCTTGGAAACCCTGTACAGGGTCACTATGAGACGGAACCAACTCGATGGCACTTAACAACATATTTCAATTTATACGCATGTAAACCGTGTTACTTCCCTATTGTTAAGTGCTGTCCATAGTGACCGTGGTGAGTTTGAACCGCTGACCTTGTGCTTTAGCATGTTATCCTGCAGTTCTACACACTTGTCTAAACCACTCTCCGCTGAGGTCGTACCACTGACCACGTTAAGTATTTGTTAACTTTTTACAACCCAGCCCATCCCCTCTCTAGGTCCCTGAGCAACCATCTAGTTGGTTCTTCTAAGAATTTGGACACACTGCCTCAGGCCTGCTCTGGCTGCCCAAATTCTCCAGATCTGTAAACCCCTCACCCACACTAGACCAATTATCTTTCAGTCAATCATTTCTGGGGAGATGGAGTGTTGATTCACTATGGGTTAACTGCTTGAGATTAAACCCAGGCAGCAAGATCTAAAAAGCCAGGTCAGCCAGGAACCAAATGTACCGAGCTACACGGCCCCTTCCGCTCACTAATCTCAACCAGATACTCTCAAAGACACTTTTCCTTTTCGGTTTTGTTTTCATGTCTGTTCAAACTACAGAAATTGAGTAAGACCTCAACCAAATCCCCATCCTTTCATACCAATCATTAGTACAAGTCCATCCACCCTTGAGACTGAAGGAGAGCAAGTACTCGTCCTAGCTTCTCACTGGCCACCAGATGGCAGAGTTGGTCAGCAGTGGCCTTAAAAGGAGGATGGCAACACTTTTTCTTTATAAATAGCCACTGCTTGCTCTAGCCGGCCTGTCATCAGGATAAACTGGGATTATAACAAGATATGATCTTTAATGAACTAGCCTGATTCAGTAAATGATTCACATCTTGACTCTTCAACGTGGTTACAAACCTATGACAGACTATGTCTCTCACTATTTTTCATCTTCATCTATAAAACGGTAACCAGTTTCCCACAAATGAGAACAGGTGCTACTGAATGTAAGGAGAAGTCTGTCTTTCCCCAAAGGGTCTCCAAAGTGTACCTAAAGTGTAGTGTGAGTGACCACGCCCCTGGACCACGGTGGATAAACAACAACTCCCCTCCTGTGCAGCCCAATAGAAACTGCACAGAACTGCTAGTCACACCAACTGTCTGTGCTCTGGACTCTGCTCCCAATCTCATTTCACCTAAGTCACAAACTCTGGACCTCAATTGGTTACATATGAAATTACCTATTTTATCCAAAATAAATGTAAACAAAATATTGTCATTATTTCAGTAACCTTGGTAAAACTTTAGGGATAATAAATACCTTTGAAGGAATGGATTGTTGTGAAAACACCTTCCTTTCTCTTAAGTATGTCTTCCACTCAAAAGAATGTTTTGTTGAATTTTCAGAAAGTTGAAAATGAAAACTCAGAACTCAGCATTCTGGGTTTTGAACTCCTGTCTGGAAAGGAGCCCTGGTGTTGCAAAGGTTAGCAGCAGGCAAAAGGTTGGCAGTTTGATTCCGTGGGTCTACTTATATAAAGATTACAGCCAAGATCACCCATAGGGCAGTTAGCTCTCTTCTGTCACATGGCATCACTAGGACTAGGCAGCAACATACAGCGACACTTATCTGGATTCAACAGCAAGAAGCCACTAATGAATAAAGAAATGCGAGCTTGTTAACATGCTTATTATTAAAGGCCTCATATGTTAAGCAAAAAGAAGACAGAAGACACAAACACCAAAAACTGTCTCCAGGAGATGCACCATGTGCTCAGAGGTTAAGCTCTACATTTTATAAAACCAACAGGTGGTGGTGGTTTTCCAGTAACTCCTACCCCACCACCACCACCACCACCACTCTGGAGTCCTGGTGTGGCGCTGTGGACTAATGCGTCACACTGCAAAGTCATTTGAACTGCAAGGTCGGTGTTTCAATCTCACCAGCTGCTCCTTGGAAACTATACAGGGTCGCTATGCATCAGAATCAACTCAGTGGCACTTAACAACAATACCACCACCATGCTATGAAAACCTTGTCCTGAGATGCTGGAGTCCTGGGCTGGCGCTATAGGAGAAGCAGTGTGGATGGTAATCTCAAGGTCAGCAGTTCAAACTTACCAGGCACTCCTCGGAAACCCTATATAGGGTCACTAGTAATTGGAAGGCACTCAACAAGACGCTGCAGAGGTACGGTGTATTCCTAGTCAAAAGACATATGCATTCTAATGACATAAAACTTAAACAGATTAAACAAGAGTACCAAATAGTGTTTAACTTGCATTTGCTGGTGAGACTGCATAGGGAAAGGCCCTGTAAAATCAATAGTCGGAGGAGACGGTTGTCAGAATTAGCAAATGTTCACATCAAACATGACAAGGTTCAGTTGTTATAGAGAAATGGCTAAGGCTAGTAAAAAGGTTTATTTTGAGCACAAACATAAATCTCAAGTTTTAGAAGAAAAGTTAAGGAAACAAAATCTCAAGAGTCTGAGATAATGCAACACTGAGATGGGTAACTCAAGTAACATTTGACTTTTAAAAGAATGGAACTCTTATTTTAAAAACGAGTTTAATTTTGGTTTCACCTGTACCAAGAGGAAAACAGGAAAAACTGACCTCTGTATGGTTCACTTCATCTGACCCTATTTATGCTTGTTTTATCCAAACAAATTTTGTCAACTCCAACTGTCCTTAATCCTCTTTCCTGAGACACTCTATCCACATTTCTGTCGCTCTCATAATTCCACACAGGAAGTTGAACCCTGCAGTAAACACACCCAATGGCTAGTGCCCAGCTGTTTTGCTGCTGTCCTTCTCCTCCCCTTTGTACTCCGGGAACATCCTCAGTCTGCAGAGGACAATGGCCAGTCAGGGCTTCCCCCAGCACTGGGTTTGGCCAGGATGGCTGGTGCCCAGTAAAGGGATCTCTGTCCTGGAGTAGCCCTGACAATTTTCCATATATGCTGTGTCAGGGAAAAGTGTGGGAACATTAAACCTCAGGAATTTCTGTATTCTCTGCCCCTCGTTATAGGGGAAACTGACAACAAAGCACTGAAGAAAATAGTTCACGGATCAAATTAAAGATCTGACTGCATCTGTTCAAATTCACATTCAAACTTTACAACAGAGAGAAGTCATGCAAGAAAGTTTTTTCACCTACAACCACATTCAACAACGGTATAAAACACAATTACTTTATTGATTTCTTATAACCAAATACTGCCAACTAGCATTACTTCCATTCATGCATCATTAAAAACAAAAGGGTATTTCCTTGGTATTTCCATATGATGCACTACAAAATAAAGAAGTTAGAACTTAAAATGCACCCTGATTAATTATGTAAACTGGTAATTAAAAAAGAAAAAAGCATAACTAGTAATTTGGTTCTTTACTTCATAAAATGGAAATTTACCAATTTCTCCTGATAGTCTTGAGGTTATCTTTATGAGTAGTGCAAAGTGTGGTACATAGTTTCATCTAGAAAGGCATGTCTCTTACACACCTGATTCAAACAAACAAAATGTGCATGACAAAATGCATACAGTCAATGCATGATAGAAAGCATGGCAGCCCTTCAGGCTATCGTATTATTTAGGTTTGCATTATCATTTATGGCATTATAGATTAATTTACACATAACATACGTTTATACATTTTAACCCTGAAGATAAGTAATGGTTGTTTGAAAAATTAATTCCAGGTAGCCATTTGGTTTGTGTCAGGAGAAAGTGAACCTCCAAGAGTTTAGTGTCTGCCAAGTCCGGAATCCCGAGCTCCAGTCAGTAAATCGGATGTGTAATGTCTTTCACAGTGGCTGTTTCCCGAGTCCTGGCAACGCCTCGTCTACAGTCTGCCAGATGGTGCTGTATCTGCAGGGTCACCCTGGCATGTGGTTTTCCCTTTCGTTCTTTTTCTGGATTAACTGAATTAGTTCGTCTTCTCACCTCCTCTGTGGCCATTCATTTTAGTTATTCATAAGTCCTTTCAGAATATCCTCAGAAAGCTCTAGAAGGGGAAGTTCTGGAGATGGAAAATCCAAGGGAGGGAGATTGGGAATTGGAATGTCCTTGGCTTTCCCGGTGTTGGTTGCAAACTTCTGCCAGGTTGAAGAGGCTGCAGCCGTGTCTGAAGGCGGCGGCAAGCTCCACAGCTCTGATTTCTCCACAAAATCAGCATCAACATCCAACTCCTTTTCTATTGGACCTTTTAGAAGTCTGGCTTTTTCAGCTTTTAGTTGTTTATTTTCTTTCCTCAATCTTTCATTCTCAGCCACAAGGAACTCAACGTGCTTCTTCAAATCAGCAATTTTCGTGGCCTGCTCCTCTATAATTGTTTTATCATCTTTCGGGGCCTTGCTCCCAATGCGAGGCTCTGGGAGCTCACTCTTGTGCTGAAGTAAAAACAAGAGTGTGTCTGGATCCCTATCAAAGACGCCCTGAATTTCAGGCAGGAGTTTCTCTGAAGAAGGGCTGCACCTCTGATAGAGAAGGGGACTCTGGCCATCCGCATCCTCAGCAGAGGGCTTGTGAGATGCCTGAAGTTGGGAAGCCCCATCCTTGTCTATGTTCTGCTGGGCTTTGGACCTTTCCTCACGCCTGGCCCTCTTCCATCTCTCCTGGATGAGCAGGAGCTGTTTCATGTGGCTATCCCTTTGCAGTTCCAGTGACAAATGAGCCTGTTACACAGAATGAAAAGGTACAATCTGTAGAATTAAAAATTTTAAGTCTCTTTAGTGATATCCTAAACACGATCCCAAGAGTCACCTTCCCAATTAGCCCAGCAATACTTTAAACTGACATGCTATGTTTATAATGGAGTTGTAGTTGTTATTGAAGGGCTGCCGAGTCAGTTCCGACCCATAGCGACCCTGTATATAGGGTTTCCAAGGAGCAGCTGGTGAGCGTGAACTGCTGACCTTGTGATTCAAAGGGCTTTGCAGTCTGGTGCAATCACCCGCAGCAGCCACAACAGCAAAGCTTCAAAACTTTCACGTGAAATTAGGTATTTTTTGGATAAGCTAACATTTTTATTAATAACAAAGCATTATTCATTCAGGAATTCAAAAGTACTATTCTAAATCAACACACCAAATCAGAATGTAAATTTAAGTTCAAAATTAGAACCCTTCTCCTAATTCTACACCCAGCTAAAAAGGAAGTCTGCCTACCAACAGTGAGGTCAGGAGGCTCAATGCGTACCTGTGTTGCACCACAAACACAAGCAAGCTCTAAACAAAGGAAAGGAATTAACCTTAACTCTAGGTGCCCTTGGTTTGGCTTGAGGAGCTAATTTTCCATCACTGAAGGACTTAACAGAATTACTTGGTTTGTCTTAGAGAAGTATTCTACACCCAACTGCTAACCGCAAGGTCAGCAGTTCAAACCCACTAAGCCACTCCCCTTGAAGACCCTTGACAGGGTCACTATGAGTCAGAACTGATTCAACAGCACTAAACAACCACATGTATCATTATCTATGGACAAGGTTATTTTGCAAGCCCAAGTAGGCTCTCTCCAAGCAAAGACAACAATTTTAGGCTATTGGTGAAACAAATTTGAAAGTACCAGAACTGCTCAGGAATTCGGGAAAAGACAAGTAGAAAAAGTATTCAGATTTAAATTATCTTCAAAAGCAAAATAGGTCCAAATTATCTTCTCTTTGTCTGACCTGTACGCTTGCTGTGAACTAAAGGTAAAACTTTCTGGCATCAACAGTAGTTAATTTCATTTTAAATTCCTTTACGTTTCCTTTTCCTGCCCATTTTATAGATTTTTTTTACTAGAACATTGTGAGTGGGGCACAATGGTATATTTTATGCTCAATTCCAACCTCCACAACAAAGCTGTTCTAAATTAGGAGAGAAGGAGGAATGAAAACAGGAAACAAGAATGGCATAAGTGATGTCACATCGGAAGGGATTTTAATCCATGAGATGAAACAAAATATGCACTGTTGAATGTAAAACTGAGGATCTGCTGCATAAACCTTCACCCAAAGCACAATAAAAAGTTAAAAAAAGAAAAAAACACTTTTTAAACCTTGTTTCAAACATTAATTAAACCTTGTTTCAAACATTAATTAAACCATGTTTTAAACATTAAGCATCTCACCTGCTCAGACTGTGTCAGCTTCATGGCTTCGGAAAGGTATGCTGGTTAAAGAGAGAGGCATGTTAATATATGAGTATTGTCATTTTGTAATTAGGAGGTCAGAGAAGGATACAAATAGTCTTCTTATGACAAAGACCAGAGGTCTCATAAGAAATTCTGCTGTATAGTAGTAAACAGGTTCCTGAAAAAAAAACAAGCAAAGGTGTAAAAGAAGGAAATGAGCTCCTCATTGTCTAAGACAATTCTTCCCTTCTCCAAAAAGAATGTCAGAAGTCATCAGATGTACATGTTCCCTACTCCACTGTGAAGGTTTTTTTCTTTTAAATACCTGTGGAGTTTACAAGTAAAAAGCCAAAGACATCCAAATCAGAGAAACAGAATTAGGAAGCCTCAAAATTAAACAGCCTATCAAAAGGAGCTCTGGTAGCGTAGTAGGGCTGCCAACTTCAAGGTCGTCAGATGAGGCATTCTGCTCCTGTAAAGGGTCACTATGAGTCAGAATCAACTCCATGGTACTTAACAACAATCAAAGGCCCATTCCTCCTTATGTTTACAAAGCCAGCAAGATATTAGCATGACAGCTCACCCCTCTTAATACCTGGCTGACATAATTTTGGCCTCCTAGAAAATTAACTCTACTAAACTCTGCTTCTGAATTATGCCATAAGCCTATAGTTAGCTGCTGCTGAGTGCATTCCAACTCAAGGTCACCCATGTGTGTCAAAGAACTGTGCTCTGGAGCAGCAGACCTTTCTCTCCTGAGGCACTTCTCTGTGGACTCCAAACTCCACCCTTCTGAGCATCTAAACCAAGAGCGCCACCCAGGGACTCCAGGGGCCTAGTATGTTTAACAATCAAGTTCCTTTAAAGCTTGGAGAACTTGTTCCTTCAGTAACACTTCCCTTTGACCTTAACATCACAGTTCCTGAGTGATTTAACTTGTCTGAATTGAAGTAGCCACTATGGAAATCCATAGGGAGTTCTGGTAGCTTAGTTAGGTCATCAGTTTGAAACTACCAGAAGTTCCTTAGGAGAAAGACGAGGCTTTCTGCTCCCGTAAAGATTTACAGCTTCACAAACCCTATCAGGATCGCTATGGGTCAGAAATGACTCGATGGCACTTAACAACAACATGAAAATCTATACTTTTCTCTCTGGGGTAGTTTCTAAATAGCTTAAGGCCAAATTCTCTGCTCCCTTGTACATTAAAACACGCAAAAACACCCAATGCATTTTCAAAACAATGCTCCCAATCCTTCCCTACTTGATCTTTCTAAGAACTTCCTCCTCTTCTTACTTTTAATTACATTTTCTATTTTGTCATATGTTTCTGTATAAGATATATCCTTTTGAGAACAACTAGGGATATAAACACCAAGTATTAATAATAAATCCTGCACAACTAAGTTCCATGGTTTTACGTCTTCTCTTATTGTTGTTATGTGCCCTGGAGTCGGTTTCGACTCATAGCGACCCTGTACAGGGTTTCCAAGGCTGTAAATCTTTACAGGAGCAGAATGAAAGCCTCATCTTTCTCCCATGAAACAGCTGGTAGTTTTGACCATTGAGATTAGCAGCCCGACTCGTAACCACTGCGCTACCAGCTTTCCCTCTTACTTGCTAGAAGTCTTTAAACAGCTCCCATTCCGATACTGGAGTCCTGGTGTGGCACTGTGGAATATGCACTGGACCCCAAGATCAGTTTCAACCACAGGGTCAGCAGTTCAAACCTGCCAGCCACTCCCCTGAAAAGCCTAGGCAAGGTCAGATGACATTCAAATTAACAAAGCATTGCTTAATCTAAATTTGCTAATGAATTTCTGAGTTCTTGACTTACAATAGTTTTCTGCCAGGTTCTATGTTGTTAAGTACCACTAAGCCAGTTCTGGCTCCTAGGAACCCTGTATAGATTTTCTGAGCAGCAGCTGGTGGGTTTGAACTGCTGACCTTGCAGCTAGCAGTCCAGTGCTGATCCTACAGAGCCATACCAGGACTCCTCTATAGTTTGAGGCACTGACTAACTTGGATGTTATGTTCCTTTCTCCAGAAAACATAGAGGTAGTTATATATAGTCTTTCCTCCGGCCATACTTACCACACTTCCGTTCTTATTTTGCCTCAACCTTTTCTAGTGTTTTACTCCTATGGTACATTTACATAGCTGTATCCATATTTCCTTTTGCTCTTGTTTCAACTGGGCAGCTGCTGAGATAGCCTATTTGCTCTGTTAAGTGTATATGAATTTTCGTAGGCACCTCTCCCATCTGACCTGCACAGATCTGTTTCCCTCTTCCCACTGTAGTTTGCTTTAAAGACATTTTCACAACAAATGGAAGTTTCCCACAACCAAAGTTGAAATGTCCTTGCTTTGCCAACCTTGAAATTGCATGGTAAGCCAGACTATGCCCAAGGGCAGAGTTCCCAAATAGTTACCAAGAGTCTAACTAAAACAACAGTCATTTTAAAGTCTTTTAAAGGGACAAAGAAAATGTCTAATTGCATGTTCTCCTCTTTGTTCCACAAGTATACAAATAGGAAGAAGAACCTACCAGGTCAGACATTTAGGAAAGGAATACCTAGGAAAAATCTATCAGTTCTGGTGAATCTGCTTTTTAAGTTAGGGCACAAGGCTAACATTTAAGGTAGATGCCAGCTAAACGGTGAGCCCTGGTGATTTAGTGGTTACACATCAGTTAGTAACCACAAGGTCTGCAATTCAAATCCACTAACCACTGGTAGCATAGTGGTTACAAATCGGACTGTGAACCTTAAGG